GCAAGGGGCAGCTGGTCGATGTTTCTCTCTCATCAACGTTTCTAGCTCTCTATCCCTCTCTCCTCCTCTCTGTAAAAAATCAAAATATAATTTAAAAAATAATAATAATAAAAAAAGATTTTTGTGTGTGCTTAGTCTAAGAGGTTTTTTTGTTTGTTTGTTTGCTTGTTTGTTGTTAAATAATAATGTTTTTAAAATGTCTTATAATGCTGGGGTTCTTGTCCCAGAGTTACAAAGGGTTCAGCAATCTGGAGAAAGGGGCTGATGCATAGATTCAAGAAGGAGTCCAAGGACGAAAGATAATTTTGAAAGGCGTTGGGGGTCAGAGGATCTTCAGCTTAAAGGATTGAAGACTACTCCTTATCTAAGGACCCCGTGCTATATTTATTAACACAATTTGTCCTAAGGCAAGGTGGAGAAATACACTTCAAAGGGTATTTCAAAAGGTAGTGTTCAGAAGCATTGTCAGTTTGAGGAATAGCCTATGGCTGTCAGGTGTTTGGCCAATAGGAGGCAATCAATGTCCTGAATTGTCTGGCAGTTAATAATTATTCTTCATTGTTTTTGTTAATCCTCACCAGGGGATATTTTTCCATTGATTTTTGTGCTGCACCAGCACAGCCAAGGTTTCGGTGAGCCTGAGGGAGGGCAGTGAAAGATTAAAGAAAAGACAGACAAAGAGAATATGGCTGGGGCTCAGTGTATCTCCTATGCCTGGATGAGGCCACAGAGAAGGATGCAGCCAGCAAGCTGAGACTACTACAAGGTAGTAGTCAATATAGTTACAATGTTCTTGTGAGTTTCACTTGTTTTGGAAGCACTTGCTGCACCTCCCACAGACCATTAGTTACCCAGGAAGGATCAAGGGGGTGACCATATATCAAACTTAATTATGCTAAGAGGGCTCTATCCTCTAAGCTGGGACTTGTTTGTGGCTCTGTCACAGGTCAATCTAAGGCTTAACTCTAGAGCTTCTCTCTACAGATTTTTAGACAGTGGAAGGGATGGGGAAGAGACAGAGAGAAACAATGATGTGAGAGACACATGGATTGGTTGCCTCTCACACCCACCTCAACCAGGGCCTGGGATCCAGCCTGCAACTGAGGTACATGCCCTTGATGAGAATCGAACCCTGAACCCTTAAGTCCATGGTGAACACTCTATCCACTGAGCGAAACCAGCTAGGGCTATTTCTGATTTTATTCTTAAGACCAGAATCATAGACAGTATTCTGGTGATGATTCATGATCTAAATTCAGCATTTTGTTGGCTGCCTTGACCACAGTACATAATTTAGATGTTGTATTCACTAACTTGTAGACATCAAAATCATCTGGCATTTTTGTCACTAACATTACCTTGTGATGTCAGAAGGAAAAGGGCAAACCAAATATATGTATATGTATATTCTAAGGAATCTTTATAGAGGAATTTCATCATTATTCTGTTAGAAGTATGGGTAACATTTGTCTAACACTTTATAATTTACAAGAATCTTTACACTTCATGAGATCTCAAGACAAACCTTTTAAAAAATTTTATTGACTTCAGAGGAAGGAAGAGGAAGAGATAGAAATATCAATAATGAGAGAGAATTATTGGATCAGCTGTCTTCTACACACCCCCTACTGGGAGTGGAGCCCACAACTCATGCATGTGCCCTGAATGGGAATTGAATGATGACCTCCAGGTTCATAGGTTGATGATCCACAACTGAGCCATGTTGGCTGGGCTGAAAACAAATCTTTGAAGTAATCAAGATCATACCCACTTTAAGGTGAATATAATTTAGATAATGGCCATAGTTTGAGGTTACATTTCTTGGATCTGAATCCTATGTACTTCACATCTATCTATATATATATATAAAAGGCTAATATACAAAGTGTCCCCTGGGAAGTTTGACCAGGAGTTCGACTGCTTGCTATGATGTGTGCTGACCACCAGGGGGTGACATGGAATGAAGGAAGACCCGGCTGGCAGCTGGAAGGCCCCAATAGGACCTGATCACTGGCCAGGCTTAGGGACTCTACCCATGCACAAATTTCGTGCACTGGTCCTATAGTATATAATAATAAAAGTGCAATAATGCTAATTAGTCCCCATGTACTTCCATCCTTCCAAATGAAGCTGGGACTGCGAAGGAAGCCCGGGTCCCAGGTACCAGAGGGAAGCTGGTGCTGGCAGCTAGGGGGAGGAAGGCCTACTCTTACATGAATTTTGTGTATCAGGCCTCTAGTATATATATAAAAAGTTAATATGCTAAGTGTCCATTTGGGTAATGACATCACATAGCAACACCTGGCTTTCTCTCCCTAGGGACTAGCCTCCTTGGAGTTTCTTCAGCCCAAACACGACTTGGTTTATAGCTAGGTGGAAACATTTGGCACTGTAACCAAATGTCTGTGAAGTGTTTTCCTGTGCCTCATCTCATTTAATCTTCACAGAAGTCCTTGAGTAGGTAGATAGGTGATTCGGTAAAATCCTATTTTCTTTTTATTAGCTATAAAACAAAGATTTAGAAAGCTTAGAAACTTGACCCAATTGAAAAGAAGAAATGATGGGCCTTGAAAATAACTTCAGGTTTTCTCACTATGCAAAATATAGTCAAATACTGCTGCAGTTAAATATTTTACCCTTTGTTCTCCCTATGTGATCTAGAATAATAATAATAATCTGCTTCATGTTGATGTTTACTGCTATATTGCTAACAATTACCTGAAAGAGAAGTTGGGGTGCTTCACTGGCTGGAAAAAGTTTAGCTAAGTCAGAAAGCAGGTCTAATTAAGCAAATTTATTCTATATCTATAAAAGGCTAAGTTGATTCATGCCTGCGCGATACATATAAAGCTCTTGCTGGTGCCAATCGCATGCGTGTGTTTCATCTGTCATTGTTGATCATGAAATTGGTTGATGGTTCTATTACAGAGAAAGGGCAAATAAGCAATATTACTGGTAAAATACTTGTAATTAATTTCTTTTCAATGTGCACAAATTCGTGCACTGGGCCACTGGCTATATTATACACATACTACTTTCCACCACAACTAAACAGAGACATGGGTTTTGTTTCTTTCCTGAAACCATTTCCTTTGCACTAGTTTCCTTTGGAATAGAAGCCTTTCTGCTTTTACTTTCCTTAGTGTAGCTTCAGGGAAAATAGGAATTCACTATGCTATTTATAATTTGAGTTTTCTAAAAATGTGAAGTAGCACAGAAGTAGCAAATACATATCCTCCTATATAATAAAACCCTAATATGCAAATTGACCCAACTGCAGAAAGACCGGTCGCTATGATGTGCACTGACTACCAAGGGGCAGACGCTCAGTGCAGGAACTACCCCCTGAGGGTCAGTGCACTCCCAAACAGAGAGCACTGCTCAGCCAGAAGCAGAGAAGCTCCTGCCTCTTCTCCCTGCAGGTGGGTGGTAAGGAGTGAGGGTTGCCCTAACTGGTTTGGCTCAGTGGATAGAGCATCGGCCTTTGGACTGAAAGGTCCCAGGTTCGATTCTGGTCAAGGGCATGTATCTTGGTTGCGGGCACATCCCTAGTGGGAGGTGTGCAGCAGGTAGCTGATTGATGTTTCTCATCAATATTTCTAACTCTCTATCCCTCTCCCTTCCTCTCTGTAAAAAAATCAATAAAATATATTAAAAAAAATAATAAAAAAAGGAGCGAGGGTTCCCGGACTGAGAGAGGTAGCAGGTGGGACTGAGGCACCCCTCTCTTCCTCCCCAACACACCACAGTGCATGAATCTCGTGCACCCAGCCTCTAGTTCACTGACAAAGATATATATTTTCACTTTACAATACTTAACACAGAAAAGCATTACTGTTTTACTTCAAGTAAAAGACCACTGGGTATGGTGTGGTGTGCGTGTTGGAGACGTAGTAGAGTAAATGACTGTGAACAAACAAAATGCCAAATTAAGTAACTTGAACTTTATCTTGTTTAAGATCTTATCCCTTCCTTGAGTCTCCTCTGATGAGCAGAAGATGCATGATCCCTTTTAACAGGTGTTTCCCCCCCCCCCCCCCCCTTATAGCTGACCTTGGCCACACTCTCAAGAGCCCCTTGCTCTCTTAGCTGCTGCACCTCCCCGGTTTCTTCTTCACAGACCCCCTCCAGGATTCTGCTCTCTTTTCTGGACACGCTGGTCCCCAAACTTCCAAGCCATTCTCAAAAGGTGGCTTAGGCCAGTAATGTGCTTGTCCCTGCTTCTCTCTGGTTGTGCCTGAAATGCTTTGGCCTCCATCAGCTCCTCCAGCTTCTTCTGACCGGTTGTCTGGAGCTTTTTATTTTCATGTTCAGTCTGTTATTTGTTCCGAGATGCTCAGAGGCAGGTAGCGAACTTTGTGATTCCTCGTGGTCACCAGCCCATTAAGCTCCCTTCTTGGGAGGAGGCTTCGCCTTCTCATCTCGAAGCCGAGACTTCACCTTCCTCTCCAAACAGCACCCCGGAAAAACCTCGCATGGCTGACATCTTCTTCCTCCTCCTCCTCCTCCTCCTCCTCCTCCTCCCCGCTAACGTAGCAAGCCGGCCCGATCCAAAAAGGCTTTCGCACCCTGCGCATGCGGACTCGGCGGCTGCCATCCCGACTCCCGGCCGCCTTCCCGGCCCCTCCCCGCCCGGCGCCCGCGGCCGCCCCAGCACCCTGACAGCTCCACAACCGGCGGACGCCGCCTCGTCTCGTGCTTCCACGTTACCCTATCAGAGGCGGGGCGGGGCGATGGCCTCCGCAGCCAATCAGCACGAACCACGACCCGGCGAGCCCAGTAGAAGAGCGGCTAGGAAGAAGGCGATTGGATGGCGGCGGCGCTGGGGGGCGTGGCATCGCCCGGGCCCCCGCCCACCGCTGCTTCCCTCGGGGTGGGCTCCAGCTGCCGCTTAGGCCCGAGCGAGAGCCGACGGCGGGCGGGCGCAGCTGCTGCCGGAGCGCCAGCGGGGACGTGTGGGCCCCGCACTCTCGTTGCTTCTCCCCGCCGCGCCCTCGGACATGGTGGCCCCCGGCTCCGTGACTAGCCGCCTGGGCTCGGTGTTCCCCTTCCTGCTCGTCCTAGTGGACCTGCAGTACGAAGGTAAAAGTCCTGCGCTGCGCCGCGCCGCGCTGGCGGGAGGAGCGGGCTCGGGGGTCAGGTCCCCCCGGCACCTCCTCGCCGTGGCCCGGGCGCGAGTGTCTCCGGGCGGGCGTCCCGGGCGGCGGGCGGCAGCCGGGGCTGCGCGGCGCGGCCGCCGGGGCCTGAGCCCGGCCCTGGGTTCCGGGTTGGTTTGGGGAAGAGGAGCCGGGGCCGGCGGGCGCGGGGCGGGAACTGGGGGTTTGGAGTGGAGCCGGGGCCGAAGGGAGGCGGGGAGAGCGGGGCCCGGGGCGCGGGGACGCGCGCAGCCCTCGGGTCCGGCCTCGCCGGGGACCCTCGCCCGGGACCCTGTCGGTCGGTCGGTGGGGCCGGGAGGAGGCGGTCCGGGCAGCCCAAGGGGAGCCTGCTTTCGCTTTGGAGGTCCGCGGGCGGCGGGAGGAAGTGTGTCCCGCCGAGTGAAGTCGGGGGTGGGAGGGGGGGCAGTGCTGGCACCTCCCCGTGTTGGTCATTCTGTATCTCCCGTGGCAGTGGCTGGGCTGGGAGTCATGCACTCGGAGAGCATGGCTTTTGCAAAGTTTGTGGGTTTTACAACTCCTGGCGTGGTGTCCTTCAGGTTAGGGCTGGCTTTGCTTTTCCCAGTTTTCTGGGGAGGGAGAGGGGGGGATCCCCTTAAAAAGGTACCAGTGTTTAAGTTGCACGTAAGTCCTACAGCTTGGGATGCTGGTTACTATTGTAACAGAATGTCCAAAAGCAGAGGGCTGACTGCCCCGTCTTAGATAGCAGCGGGAGGAGTCAGCATGAAAGCCCCTACTTTGTAGGTTACCGTGCGAAATAATGGAGTGTGACAATCTCCTATCCAATGCACTGGTCTGTTTCCGTCTAAAGGCTCGTGTGGAGGTAAAACGAAACATTGTAATAGGAGACTTTATATTAGACGGAGGGAGTGAGGAGCTGAAACCAGGAATTGTTTCTGGTGAAATCCCCTCAAAATTCTAAACGTAAAAAAAAAAAGTAATATTTTTCCAATTTTTAGGTCTCATGTATGATAGCGATTTATTTTTAGTTTTAGTTTTTGGTTGTTATTCTTTTGGTGTCCCTAGTGACAATCTATCTATCTATCTACCTACCTACCTACCTACCAAAAATCAGGACATGTATGGGGACAAGATGGAGATAGAGAATTTGACAGTGATGCTGCCCCAGAAAAACTAGGGAATTTGAATTTGAATGCCCGGACCACATTAATATGGGTCATGTATTCCAGGCCTCTTGGATTTTCTAAAGCTAACCCCCTCCCTCCCCAATGAAGCATTTATGTCCAGTTCCCATTGATTTATTTCGGCCACTTAAGAGAACGTTGCCTGTGTTCTGTTTGATGGCAATCATTTTAGGTTGCAAAGGGTGCACGCTTTTGTATGATTTGCTTTTCCCACTAGCTCTTGGATTACCTTTTTAGAATTGCTGTTCTGTATATGATTCTGCCACTTTATTTACATCCTGTGATACTTTTCATAAGAAAAAAGCCACGCTGGAGAGCTTTTCTGTAGAGGAGACCTTGGTGGCATTTCTCCAAGGAGTGCCAGAGTGCTATCTTCTTTAGGAGCATTACCTCTGTAAAGGAGCAGGGATTTGGTACAGGCCGTAGGGCAGAAAGGAAAAAGATCTCAAAGTTATTGAATGTCTGCTGTGTGCCAGGCCCCTTTCTGTAAGCGATCTCTTATTCATGGAGGTACGTAATATTGTTCCTACTTTACTGACGAGAGAATGGAGTCTCTGAGTTTAAAGAATGTGTATAAGGTCACATAGCTATTAACTCTAAGATCTGTAAATTGAACTCAAGTTATTTGACTCTAAGGTTTATCTGTGTACAGGCTGGAGACAGAGTTAAATGGTTGATAGCGTCATGTGGGCCCAATCATTTGTAAGTGGTGGCAGCTGAGAAAAATCAATTTTTTTTTTTATTTTTTTTTTTGCTTGTTTGCTTGTTTGCTACCGGTAGTAATGCACAAGAAGGTGATTTTCAGGCATGTTTCATACAGCAGTTCTCAAAATTTTTTTTTAAAGACCTGTTTTCATTATTTATTTTTGTTAAATCTCACCCTAGGATATTCTTCTATCGATTTTTAGAGAGAGTGGAAGGGAGGGAGAGAGACAGAGAAATATTGATTTTAGAGAGACACATCGATTGGCATCCTGATCTGGGATCGAGTCTGCAACTGAGCGAGATACATGCCTTTATCAGAATTGAATCCAGACACTTCTGTCCCAGGACCTATGCTCATACTTTCTCATTGAGCCAAATCATTTGGGGCCAGTTCTCAACTTTGAGTGTGCATCAGGATCTCACCCTGGAGGGCTTTTGAAAACAGAGTTCAGGACCCCTCTCTAAGAGTTTCTGATTCAGTAGGTCTGGGTGGGAGCTGACATTTTGCATTTCTAAAAAGAAATCACTGATGAGAATCATGGGTATAAGTTACATAGAACAGTTAAATTATGTGTCTTCTATGTACTAGACATTAAGTTTGGTAATGGAATTCAAAACGAATCTCTGACTTGGGCTAGCAGACTGTTAGCTTCTGTTTTCCCAAGTAAGATGTTTGTCTGGTACAGGTAGTAGGAAAGAAAGGAAAAAGATCTTAAATTCTTGAAGGTAAGCTGGGCTCAGTAACAGCAAAGTCCTGGAAGCATTCAGAGCTGCGTGATCCCACCACTGTGCCTGACTGAGGCTTTGGAGAAAGAAAAATAAAGGAGAAAGGGTTTGAGAAGAGTGAATGTGAAACAGAGTTGCATAGGATGGAGAGTGTCACCAGTAAGTAGGTTAGTTGGCCTAGTTTTTTCTAATTTAACTGTGGATGAAAAGGGCCACATCCTAAACCAGACAAGCTCAGGTAAGGCCTGCATGGCAGCCTTACAAACTCAGAGCCTAAAGTAACCACAAAGGATGGTCTGAAATTAAAACTTCTTAACTAAAAGCAGATTATTGCAGTTGTCATGTCCTAACGCAGTATTTTTCCCTAACAAAAGTCAATCTTTACCTTAATTGAGCCTATTTATTTATTTATTTTTGCATATACAATAAAATGTAGAATATCAAAATAATTTTCTTTTCCCAGACCCTTCAGAGGCATAACTCTGGGAAAACAACAGACTCTCCTTATTATGTTAATTGTTGACTATTAACTAACATGTATTCACCCGTGTAAAAGAAGTGTGTATATCATTTTTCTTTCTTTAAAATTTTTTTTTTATTGATTTCAGAGAGGAAGGGAGAGGGAGACAGAGAGACGAACATTAGCGATGAGAATCACTGGTCAGCTGCCTCCCTTACCATTCCACAGCCCAGGCATGTGCTCTGACCAGGAATCGAACCATGACCTCCTGGTACATGGGGTCCACGCTCAGTCACTGAGCAACACCGACAGGGCTGTCAATGGATTTCATATAACCCATTTACGTCTTCTCTTTTGATTGTATTGTATAAAATAAGGTTCATAACTGCCATTCTCTGGAGCATCTTCTCAATCTGTTAAAATTTTGCTTCCTGGCAGTTGTCGACAGTTGAGTTGTCAAATAAACTCACAAAAGTTCTCTACGGTTTGAATGTTCCATAAGTTGACATGATTCAGAGAAAGAAAATACGTAATATTTTTATGAATTTAAAGTTTTAGTACATTGTTTCAAAAAGACCTTTAAAAGAGGGAAGACTAAAACACTAGATTAGGAATAGAATTTTTGTAGCAGAGAGAAAACTTTAGTAGAATATACTTTAGTATTCTCATGTTACAGATAAGGAAGTTATTTAATTCTTTGCTAATGGTTCTGTATGGTGCCTTCAGTAGGAACATAGCCTGGAAATCAAACCTTTTATCTCTTTTTCTTCCTTAACAAGTTACCTGGACCCAGTATTCTTCCTCCTTCCCCTTCCCCTTTCTTTCCTCTTATTATTTTTTTTAAGCTTCATCTGAGGATATATTTTATTGATTTTAGAAAGAGGAAGGGAGAGAAAGAAATATCTATCTGTGAGAGAAACCTGGATCAGGAGCCCCCTGCCTTCCCACAACTGACCTGACTAAACCATGTATTTGGCCATAGGGATAAGAATAGTTTAAAATGAATAAGTATAAGAGATGGTGATTTTATATGAATATACCTACTAAAAATATGTTTTGTCTTCTCTAGGATTTTCTTGACATTACTTAATACTAGACGCTTGGTGCATGAAATTCGTGCGTGGGGGAGGGGTTATCCCTCAGCCTGGCCTGCACCCTCTCCAGTCTGGGACCCCTGTGGGATTGGGCCCAAACCAGCGGGCCTGAACTAGCAGTTGGACATCCCTCTCACAATCAAGGACTGCTAGCTCCTTACCGCTCACCTGCCTGCCTGCCAGCCTGATCACCCCCTAACTGTAACCCTGCTGGCCTGATTGATGCCTAACTGCTCTCCTGCTGGCCCATCACCCCCAACTGCCCTCCCCTGTTGAACTATTCGCCCCCAACACACCTCTGCCAGCCTGATTGCCCACAACTGTCCTCCTCTGCTGGCCACCTTGTGATAATGTCACACGAGGGCATGATGCCACCTAGGCTTTTATTATATAGGATGAGAAGAATAAATGTAATAGGGAAAATGAATGACTTTCTTCTTTTTTTTTTTTTTTAATATATTTTATTGGTTTTGTATAGAGAGGAAGGGAGAGAGAGAGATAGAAACATCGATAAGAGAGAGAGTCATCGATCAGTTGCCTCTTGCACACCCCCTACTGGGGATATGCCCGCAACCAAGGTACATGCCCTTGACCGGAATCGAACCTGGGTCCCTTCAGTCCCCAAGCCGACGCTCTATCCATTGAGCTAAACCAGTTTTGGCGAAAATGAATGACTTTCAATAATTTTTATAAACTAAGTATTCTAGCAGATGGTCAGGTAGCTTCTAAAATTAATTTAAATTCTTTTAATGAAATAGGCTATAGTTAGCAGTAGTGCCAAAGTTCTAATTCACTTGAC